TTTTTTTCGCTAATAGTTGTTTCGAGTGCTTTCTTGGAAAACCTTCAATGGATAAAGTCTTGAAAGTCTCATTTTTTAAACGTTTCATCTACTAGCAGTTGCTATGTAAACATCTGAAATGTGAATTATACAGATCCTGCTTTGAGCACCGTCTTTCCGATGGATTACCTCGAACGTGTGAAAACAGTTCACTCAAAAGGAGGATATGGATCCGCCGGGTTTGTTTCTTCTTCGTATCATTTCAATTCAAATCAATAGCTTTTGAACAAATAACGAAAATTCCTTCCTCAGAAATGAGTAGCTTAAGTGCTGGATTTACGTCAGGTAAAGTATGCTAAACTTTTTTTCATGCCAATGTTGCTTACAGCTTAGAAAATTTGTATACAGATTGCAGAACGAATGCTTTGCACGTCGTGTTTTTTTTTTGATCTTAAACACCCCACTTCCGTTGTAGTTTTTCAATTTAAGGGCTTGACTAAGTTGATCATCGTATTGTTAGTTTTGTTGCAGGTACAACTACGATTGGAAGATCGAAGAAGCGCAGAAAAATGTGTTGCGAACACATACGACCGCCGTCTCGGCGCGGCTTCTATACAAGCTTGCTCAAGAAGTTAGTTCTTGATTTGCTCTTATGACAACTTTCAAATGCAATAGCGATCAGTGAGCAATAGATTTTTAGTATTTGTTAATGGAAGCATGAAAACGCGTTTGACTTCGGTTCAAGATTTCCTTTTATACTTTTCATATAACTAAAGAAATTTCATGGATTCAGGGTTTCAAACCGACAAAAATGTTCTCCATCGATCGGGTATTCCGAAATGAGACTTTGGATGCAACTCACCTGGCTGAGTTCCATCAGGTAAGCTTGTTGGCTGCCAACTGTAGCTGTTGAGTATTTCGTTTATTTTGAACAGAATTTGAATTACACTTTCATCAGGTCGAGGGAGTCATTGCTGAACGCAACTTGTCTCTAGCGCATTTGATAGGAGTGTTCACGGAATTTTTCAAAAAGCTTGGTCAGTTTTTTCTGAAGCATTTTCCTTTATTTTGAAACATTCGCTGAAAATTGAAAGCTAATATAAACCATAAATGGTATCGTATAGGTATCGAGAACCTTCGTTTCAAGCCAACTTATAACCCTTACACTGAACCCTCAATGGAAATATTCGCTTATCATAAGGGATTGAAGAAATGGGTTGAGGTCAGAAATCGCGTTTTCGTAATCTAAAGTATTGATTTGTGATTTTACCTGACTTCTGAATCACAGATCGGAAATTCCGGAATGTTCCGACCAGAGATGTTGCTGCCAATGGGATTGCCTTCGGATGTGAATGTGGCAGGGTACGGACTCTCATTGGAAAGGTGAGCGAAAAATTTGCATTAAATACCTCCTGATAATACTCTGCATATGGTAATCGTAGCTATAATTGGAAACCGTCAGCAGACTTGCGATCGAGGCGTGACACTTTGAAGATGGAAAATGAGAAAAAAAGGGGCATGGTAGCAAAAATAGGAAACGAAGAACAAATCGGGCCAATTTCGAGGATCCTTAGGGAACAAGGTCTTTTTTCATTGAGACACTTACTCTTCCCCCTCCCCCGTCCTCTGGTCGATGAAGAATGGAATTGCCTAACTCCACGAAGTAGTAAAATACTTCTCCACTTTTCGTGGTACACATATGACACATTGTAATGGCACACATGTGGACGAGGCTGATTTCAGAGTCCGCGATCTGTCGCGCGAATCGCAAAAATCGCAAGTGCCTTATTTGAACATTTGAAACACTGAATATGAAACAAGTAGAATCATGAACAGTCGTCATTCAACCATCACCATCAAGCAGAAATGGCGGCGGGATTGGAGAGCACCTCGCAGTATTGATCGGGCAGTTGCAATTTCGGTGATCCGTCGCGACTGATCGCGGATTCTTCCAACCTAATTAGCATTCGAAGAATACTATACACGCAGCGTCCTCTTTTAAATACTGAAATCGCCAAAGTCCGTCAAGACCACTGTTGTGAAGGAAACCAAACATAATAACTTTTGAACACAAATCAGAACCAGATGTTTTGCGGGTATACTAGTGAATCAGGGGCAGTTTTCCATTTTTGACAGTGGATCGCCCTGTGACGTTTACTTGCGAACACATTCGAAAAAATCTGATAGCTCTCTCTCAACGTTGAACAATTCTTCTTGTCGGGAAAATGGAAAAATTTCAACTTGGAAAATTCAGGAAAACTTGAGTTTTCAATTTTTGTGACTCCTTTTTTCGGAAAATTGAATCTTCTCGACATGAACTCGCGATTTTCGACGCAATTCTCTTCTTCTGTAGTGTGCGTTTGGGACAATTTCGACTCTCAGCTACAGCGCTGGTCAAGTAGATCATTTCCATGTTTTTATCGCTATTGTAGCTTTTGTTCCTCAGCTTCACAAAATTTGAGATCAGTCTAGCGTTCGAGAAATTCACCTTTCTGCGTGTCTCGAAAAAGGCTTCCCAATGCGTTGTGAGATGTTTCTTAATTTGCTAAATCTAATACTTTTCTTGTTTGGCATCTGCAATTTCTATGCCTATCGTTACACAGATCAGCAACTCCAAACGGGGCATTAATTTTAGTTTCTCAGCGACATCAGTGGTAGTGCTACAATATAATACATGGTATTTGTTCATATATTGCTATTTGCTTCAGGCCTACAATGATTCGTTACGGAATCGACAATATTCGAGATATGTTCGGGCCCAAGGTTGACTTGCAGATGATCTACAATGGCCCTATTTGTCGACTCGACAAGATTAAAAGCTGAACACTCGGTCACAGGAATGGTCTTTGTTGGTTTTATGATGCGTTATGTTTTTAGGGGATGAGCAATTTTCACCTGTTAGCTTTGTTAAGATATTGAAATTGTTGCTCTGTTTATTCCTACGGTAGAAATTTACGCGCACTAATGAGCTCTGGTCCACAGTCTCACTGGTATTGACCTCCATGGCACAATTTGTGGTATGGCTAGTTTCTGTTACGAACCGGTTAATCTCCATGCTTGAGCTCGTGCTCCATTGAGAACAAATTTTCTACTAGTTAACATTTACATGATGTTATGGTAACTGGGACATAGTAACTGTCTAGTAGTACAAACCCCAGTCAACCTGAACCGCTGGATTTGCGCGAACACAAACGGCTGAAATCAAATCGGGAACAAAAGTAGGATGGACGGGAACGAAATCGTCGTGGTAGTGTTACTCACAGTTCCCGCCCATGTCTTCGTAGAACATCATCTGTGAACATCCCCTCGATTCTGAGGTGGGGTCGGGTTCTGAGGTTGGTTTGGGTCGCATCGCGCTCTTACCCAGTTACAGCGCAGCAACAGGCGCATCGGCTTGTGTTAGTTCCCGAGGGTCTCTGCAACTGCGACAACTGCGACGGTTCTAGCCTTTGTTAGCTGTTCTGTAATGACAACTACATATTTTATTTTTCCAATGGGTGTGCCTGGTCTTATTAATTTCTGTCTTATTCCAGTGAGGCTAGAGAGTACCGCGAAGGTACGTTGTTGTTGAGTGATTTATCCTTGTTCCCCTTCCCACTGTTTTTTGTTTTAGTTGGGACTTTTATCACATGTCGTTTTCAATTTCTTTATTTATGCGCTCACAAATTTATCAGATTTTCAATACAAACAGTATATATTTGCTTGAGCTTCCTCGTCACTTCGCGTTGACAATTTCAATCTAAAAATACATCTATACTATAATAAAATATGGACATCTCAAAATACGTTCAAATTTGTAAAAAAATAAGCCATTCGGATATGTGCTTTTCAGAAATTTTTAAAAAGCTATGGATTAGGTATGGGTGCCCAAAATATGATTTGTTACTCAGAGGACGTCGCCCTACCTTACAGTAGAGTCATTGATGGCGCAATTCAGTTACAAAATAGGTGTGTCATTACGACCTCAAATACTTCAACTTTTGCCGCAGTGTGGACTCGGATTGTGGGTGGCAGGAATAGTCGCAGCTCATCGACTTCTATTGTACGGTGGTTGCGCATAGAGAAAACGAGGATGGATATTGCTATGTCGCTTTTGGGATAAATCTCAGCTAACAACTGAGATTGTACAGCCATCACCTTGCTCGTTCGTGATGCCTTGATATTTCAAAAACTGTTGTTGTGAGATTCATTGTAACGATGTTTTGGAGAGCTTTCTAACGAAACCTGTTAGTTTATCTAACCATTCACCATGTTAAAGATAATACCCTGGCAATTGTTTATGTACCTGAAAATTTGAAACAAATTCAAACAGCCTAATCGCCTTTCGAGATGATGCTAATTTGTGCAACTTGGCCCACCCTATTCCAAATCTCCTATTTTCCATCCGCTACCTCGCTCCTCAGCTCCACTGAACAGCCAGCTCAATTAATAGGGAGATTTCGCGCTCTGCCTGTTTTTGAAGGGATCCGTAGGAGAAGTATGGGAAAGACATGTGGAACGTGGGAGAGATTCTTGGACCAATCAATAAAATCTGCTAGCATGACAGTTCTTGAGTTCAGATGCTCAAGTCAAATGAGATAAAATTTGAGCGGGCGGCAAGAGACAAAAAGAATGCAAAGTGGATATTGGAGAATTAAAGTTGACTCACGTCAGATGAAATTGATGGTTCGATTCCTAAGGCTTTACATAGAAAGACGTATGATGCCTCTGTACTTCGCCGTATCGCGTCCGGACCCCGAAATCCATGCCCTTCGTCTGAATCATTCCAATCTAATATTTTTGCTTACAAGATATATAGAAGAAACGACGAAAAGCTCTCACCGTCGAAGAGCATCAGCGCTGTTGTAACACCTTTTTGTCGCAATTTGTCGTACATTTCAACACTCTGACTAACCGGCACTACCGTATCTTCTTTGCCGTGCAGAAACGCGATCGGCGTATTCAGCCGGTCAATATGGTAGATTGGGCTACGGTCCTTAACACAAGCATCTGATAGTTGAAGGTTGAAACATAGAATTCACTAACCTTATAAATTTGTTCTTCTTTTGGATATTTACCGATAAGTGTTTCGTTGTAACCGCGCTCGAATTTATGGGTATCCTAAAACGATATTTTGTATTACGTTTCATGTCAGCGGCTCGTAAAAAAAGGATCTTCAAAGAGAGTCGTGACAATTGTTAAAAAATTTGTACCTTCGCCAATCCTATTAGGTCTGCCACTCCATAAGAACAAACTGCTGCTTTAAAGACATCCGAGTGGATCAAGGCTGACAGTACCAGATAACTGAAGAAAACTGTAATTTATAGTTCTTGTTACGCTGCTTTCATACTTTGCGCCGGTGCGGGGTTAGTTGCAAGCCTATCATTGGAACGTATTACGACACGTTCCTCCCAGTTTGGCCTGGGCGGTGACCCAAAGGCGGTACTCTATCTTTCCCCAGGTTAGGATAAAGAAAGAGACCTTCAAATTTATTTGTTCTCAACGACCCTGTTCCCTTACTTTCCGCACTTGTTTGCTTTTACACATAGATATACATTACAAATACGTAGTTCGTCAGGGCGGTTCCTGCTGCAAAGACAAAGAAAATGTGGGAAGAATGTTTGTCCCCCTGCCTAGGGGAAGGATAGTATGAAGACCGGGATTTGATCCCTGAACCGTACGCGCGGTAATCATCGCTTACACACTGAATTACTAATGAAGCTCATCCAAGAGTTGACTTCACTAAATGTAACGCTACTGGTTCGTGTCTGTGCTGCTTATACATGTAGGTTTTCATAATATGTCTTCTGACCCATTCAGTGAAATGCTCTCATCAAAGGCAGAATATACGATGAAAAGTTAGCCTGTGGAAATAAGGGTAGAGGTGGTCAGTGGAGCAGGGAAGAAGTAAGAAACCATTTGACACACACCACACACACCACAACACTCCCTGCTATCTAATCACTCGCCACGTATAGACCTGCGGCGAGTGATTAGATAGTCGGTGGGCGTACCCCGCCAACCGCGCCAAGAGTGAGCCATGCTAGATCGCCGAGGTCAAATCTTTCGCTGCCAATTGCGCGTCGGTCAGCACCCTCAGGAGGTCCGCCTGTCTCCCAACTATGCAATTTCCCCTTCTTTGACCTTCGTTCTTATCGTGAATTCCTCCTTACGCCGTTGAGCTCCTTCGGTTCAGGCGACCGATGGGGACAAACTTGCTGAGCACCCGGTTCTTTGAACACTGTGATGCTGTCAAGTAGGAATAGCCCTACTATGACCCCTTGGTGTTTGCCCATTTTTTTGTCAATCAAATTTTATTTAATTTTCAATTTAGGTTCCTAATAATATTATGGGTTTGTGCGAACGAACGCGAGTATGTAATGGGAGATTGCATCGCGAGCGCAAACAATAGAATCCATGAGTTGTTTCAAAGCATCCTTAGAGTCGAGTTAGAAATGTATTACAGAGCGAATGTGAAGCACAAAACGAAACATTGAAGCTTTGTACTCTACTCACCCTCCCGCTGAACTTCCTTGAATGCACACTTTTTCGCCATCAACAAGTCGTCGTGCTATCACCGAACGAGCTGCCGCAATCATGTCGTCGCGGTCAACCACACCCCACTGATGTTTCAGCCTGCAATCATCGTACTTAGCATATCATAAGTCAGGAATATTTAAAAAATGATGGAAGCAGTAGAATTGCTAAGCCACAGCTAACATCACGCGGCACAGCGTAAGTCAAACTCATAATTGTCAGTCGTGCTTCAGAACGATAAACCTAATAATAGCAATAATTTCTAATTATCTCTTTATTAAATTAGTTTTTAATAGGCGCTGTCATTCAAATGGCCTACAATGGACCAGACAGGCGTACATGAAAGGAAAGCGGGAGTATTCGTAGAGCTCAAGTAGTTCGCCGCAAATGAGTGCTTCGGATGGAAGCCGGCCAGAAACTCCCGCCTATTTGATTTCTATTCCGACAAAATTAGTCGCAGCTGCGAATGGTCCGTAAATCAATTCGTCTTCGTTTCGGTAAGGCGGCCCATACACCTGTGATGAGCAACCATGCCATTCAAATCACCAGAAAATTTCAATCAATGAAAGCACTTTCCACCTTATCATGAAGATCTGAAGTTTTCGGATAGGCGCAATGTTAGTAAGCGGGAGGGGATGAAAGTTTGAAGAAGCTCTTACATGTTTCTGAACTTCGTGCCGAAATCCAGTCGATCCACGATAGTTCACGTCTAGCACAGCGAATCCTCGGGAAGTAAAGAATTGTTTCTTCAAGTCTAGTGAGTTAGCAGCAGCAGCAGTCGGACCACCATGGCCAAGAAGGAGTACCGGTGGTAGCATAGCCGCAGGACCGGTGAAATGACGATTCTGAAACAATCCAGTGCTCATGCTAGTTGCGAGTAGATCGCTGCATTGAGTGAAGCTTTTCCATCAATTGAACATTTTTGAGATTTTCACATCACCTTAGGCTTATAAAACCATGCTGACACCGCCACACCGTCTGACTGGAACTCCAGATGCTCGGGTTCGGAGATGTCGAGCGCTTCCAGATCACTGTCCTCGCGCGCAGTTCGGATCACATCAATGACCGGTTCTTGATCCATCATCTATAGGTCGTTCAGTTTGGGTTCAGTTCGGGTTGATCTCCCACTAAACAAACAAACCTCTTTAGAGACGTCGATGCGCAAGATGCATGACGCCTTCTTTGGTCCAGACGCGATTGTGTAAACCACATCCGCTTGCGTGATACTTAGATGTGAGAAAACCGTATAACCAGGGGTCGGTACGTGTCTTACGGCTAACTCACGACGTAACATTAGACGTCCGTTGACATTCATTATCTGGAAGCGAGATTTGCGAACAAGCTAAGATGAGCCCACTGTTTTCGGGTTTTGGATCTAAAAATTGATTTAATTACGCCAAAACCAAACAATTTGAAGATTAAGAGGAAATCTAACCCACAATCTAACATAAGGGATAAAAAAGGATAAAGCATTTGCCGTTGATCAATCCCTTTTTGGGATGCGGCACGCATTCTACTTCCATTTGTACATTCGTAGTGGCGTTTGAATGCGATGTGGCCTATACAATGACTTGCGGGGGCCAGCCGATGTACAAGTCAGTGTTTTTATCCTCCCAGACAAGTCTGGTACCAATTAACCGACCCCGGAGGGATGGAAGGCTTGGTTGGCCCGGGCGACTCACGACCCAGGATTTGATCCCCGGACCGCTCGCGTGGTAAGCGTGCCACTTGCCACTACACCACTTCCGCCCCGCCCAAAAGGGCCAATATAGGCACAGAAATATCAAAAAGCTAAATGCAAAAGATGGATCGACCTAGACCATGGTAAGTACAGGAGAGCTGCTGGGGGCTCCTTGAATGCGGCTGTGTAAGAACAGGTCAAGAAAAGTAGTGAATACATAGTTGGAGGGCAGAGCGGTTTTCGTGATGTCACTGAACATCATTGGTAGCCCAGACTCTTCAGCACGTTTGGTAGGTGGGTTGGAATCACATCGCAACGTGCTTACACCAACGTGATGGCTGGGATGCGGAGGGCTTTTGATGATGGCTCAAGGTCATTAAAATCACTCTGGCTTCCACCGTGTTCAGTGCCTTCAACATCCATTCTGCCTGCACTAGGTTTAGCATTTGTTCCTAAGCAATGAGGCGCTTCAAAAAATTCGCTCTTCAGCGGTTTTCACGGTAGGTTCCTCCGCTGCACAACACCGTAAATCTACGACGTCATAGATTGCATAGGTTTGCATGTGTCTAATCGTGTCCTAACATCGAGTGTGGACACAATTGTCACGAGTTAACATTCACTTGTTCTGTAATTTTTGAATTACACAAAAATGGCGATATATTATGGAATAAATAAATCGCAGATTTGGAGCCCAAACACTAGGAAACTGCAGATGAGAATTGAGAAAGTTCAACAAGTTTTTACGAAAATTTTACTGCACAGATGTGATCCTAGTTCTGCTCACCCAGGCATTTTGCCCGACTATGGTGAACGCCTGCGCCGGTTCCGGCTGAAATCGCTTCTTTATCGACGCGTTTTCAATGATCTGATGTTCGGCTTCAAAGTTCTCAAAGGTGAATCAAAGTTGAAACCAAGCAGTTATTGGGTGATGAGGCCTTGCCGAGGGCGCACGTTTTCGATGTCTTTGCGGTGCCCCGAACTTTCACGGAGGCAGATTACGAAAGTTTTCAATTCTCTATTTTTTCGTGTAGCGAGATGGATAGAGGCGTTGCCACCGGAGTTACAACAAGCACCAAGTGTCAGAGTCTTCAAAACTAGATTGAGGAAAGTTAATTTATTGGATCTTCTTGGAATTCGAGATTTTTGAGTCCCGTAGTATTGGAAAATTTCATTGCAGCAGTCGTCCTCCTCCCTTTCAAGCTGTCTCTGACGACACATTGAAGAGAAGCCACGCAATATTTATGACCTTTTTGTGTTTTTTTTTTACATATTCTTGATAGTACTTTATGCCTAATTTCATTCAGTTGTCGAGAATCAGTTCCAAGCGCTTGATAAGGAGACCTCCAGATCGTAACTTCACCGAGATGCCTACGATTACTGTAGTCACACAAAAGAGTTGATCCAAGATTAGACTTGATATGTGGCGGGTCAGAGGCTGAATTGTTAGGGGTAGGGAATACCTAACATCCGAAAATTCAGTTTCTGATTCCATGCGTATGCCTCGTGCCCGTTTAGGAGTGGCGTTATCCCTAGCGCTATCCGCCCGTTGATTTCTAAACACTGACTGACTTACTGAACACATTTCTGCTCGAGTACAACTCAAATTGGTCCTACAGTAAGCTTCCAAATTACATCTGAAATCCCTGCTTTTCGGAATTTCGTCCTGGAGAATCACCTCTTTATCTCGATTGCTGCCTAGCTGGTTCACTTAGTTATTGTTCTGTGTTCCCTAGTTTTACTGATGTTAAGATGTGAACTTATGTAGCGCACCTAAGCGTGCAATAAATAAATAAATAAATAAATAAATAAATAAATAAATAAATAAATGCTTCTTCGTCACCAACATATTACACTCAATTATTTCGAGGAAGATTTGGTTCTTTAATCAGAACCTCCATGTCGCAAAACACTATATGTAATAGCCGAAACGAAAAAGAGGAGCGGTGTATCTTATGAAGGATTCCCGCTCAAAAAGTGATGTTAACCCATTCGTGAAAATGGCAGCCACCGGTGGCTGCCGTGTTTCAAATGGAATTTGGAAAGTTTTCTTTCCTGAAAAGAATCTTCATACCCTCATTCATCTACGCCAGCCCTGGGCAGGGGAAATCTCCATCCACTCAAATTTTATTGAAGAAAAATCTCCTGACTCTCCTGCTATTGCGCAATCCCGCGCGGTCGCGAATGGGTTAAAATGAAGGGAAGTATTTCGAAAAAGAGAATAGAAAACTGGTAGAGTCTAAGCTTTGAATAATTTCTGGAACTCACAATACAGGATCCATTAGAGGCATAAGGTCGGTCAGGCGAATTGCCAAAGCGGATAGCCAATTTCATGATCGAACAGGGAACACGTTCCTCTCCTTAACTATAGGAAAAATATTAGACCGATGTCAGAACTTTGCGAATCGCGCGATTCGCTAGCGTCTGCGGTCGCGCGTTGCGGCGAGTGAACTACTCAATTGGCAGGTACCGCAACGCGACCGCGGACGCTAGCGAATCGCGCGACTCGCAAAGTCTGACATTGGCCTTATACTGAATTCAAATGCTACGCTTTCAAAACTGCATGAAGCCAGCGATTCTGAGAGCAAAAATTCAACTTGACTACTTACACTCTGGCCCATACGTCCACTCGTAGAACATTCCACAAATTGGGTTAGCAATCATGTCACGCCCATTAATAGATTATTATCCTCCCAACTGGGACAGTAATAATTGATCTAAAATTGATTTATTAATGATATATTTCTATAGGAGAATGATATTCGCATTGCCTTTTGTCCTGTGCCGTCCTTGACAACAACTTCATTGGTGGCAGTACCATCATCGTGTAGGACAGCAACATGAATAGAAGTCTCGTCCCAAGGCTGAAAAAGAACACTCTTCCTGCCTGGTCTCAGTTCCAGTAAAAAACGGCGCTAGCTCAAGAACGATCTCATTGAACGGAAGTGATGGATTCTTTCTAATCCTACCATGTTCACGTGATTCCACTGCATCCAAACCAATCTCTTTGCCGTCCGGAGATACACGAGGAGACGCGTAGAAATCGGCGCCGCTCGCCTAAGGATGGAATAACTTTTACAAGACAAACTGCAGGAAAAAGTAATTCTCATACATTTTCATCGCTCGAAGGCACAAAGGAGCCAATCTTAAGCTGTGCAGCACATTCAGAACGGCAATCAGATAGAGGATTCAACAAATAGAAGCCTATAGAAAAGGCACTGTCCCTAACATAAGAGTTCCCACGGCATCTCGCAAGGAAAGGATCCCAAACCGCCATGGCCATTTAAGAAGGAAGAAGGGATGTATATGCCTAGATGTGATTCCAAACGCTAACCCCTAGTCTACCTTCCACATCTGCTAAACGATTGACTAACCGGAGCTATGAAGTAAAACAGCGTAACAGTAGTAGTCGGAATTCAGTCGTAGGATCAATTCCCGTCGTGTTTACTGCTTTCCTTTTCCAAAAATAAACGTGAAACAGCTTTCAACAGCCTATTCATCTGTATTCCCGAAGAAAAGCAAAGCAGCAAAGAGTGAGGGTCGATCCTACGACGCCTTGACTGTGAGTCCCGACCACTGCCGTTGCGCTGTTTTGCTTCATAACGTTCAGAGAATCGTTTAGCAGATTTGGAAGGTAGATTTGAGATCAGCGTTCGAAGGCACATCTAGGCAATACATCTCTTCTTGGAATGGCCATGGCGATTTAGGATCACTCCTTGTAAGATCATTTCATTCTACAATGAGAAGTTGCGCCCACGCCACTCGCGCTTTTGGTTCAGATTAGCAAATCATTCCCGAATCTGTCTGCGGAATAATTACACTTTACT